ACAGGCCTCCTGGGGCTGGAGGAGAGTGCGACACACATGGGGAAGGGGTTTGTGTCTCACTTCCCCATCTGCCTGTGTCACCGTGAGCATCAGCATTGCTGTCCCACACGTGACAGTAATAGTCAGCCTCGTCCTTGGCCCGGGCCCCGCTGATGGTCAGGGTGGCCGTGTTCCCTGAGTTGGAGCCTGAGAATCGGTCAGGGATCCCTGAGGGCCGGCTGCTATCACCATAGATAATCATCACGGGTGCCTGGCCCGGCTTCTGTTGGTACCAGGAAACATTTTTACTTCCAATGTTGTTTCCCCCACAGGTGATCCGGGCTGTTTGTCCCAGGGTCACACACACAGATGGGGGCTGAGTCAGCTCATAGGAGGCCACAGAACCTACAAGAAAGAAAAGGAGCTTTAGGTTTCCAGCTCTGGGTCTCATCCCCGGAACACCATCACCTGCCTGGCCTCCAGGGATTCTCCACGCCCTGTTTCCACCCTCCCACCATCTCAGCACCTGAGGCCCTTGGGTCCAGCTGGTGGATGGATTATTTGCACAAAGGAGATCATCCTCATTTTTCTCTGCCCAAGTCAGAGCCAGTGAGCACGTGGAGGAATTACACGCCTCCAGTCTCTCACTGCATCAGGGTGAGGACCATCCTTCCCCTGACAAGCTGCTCCCTGCTTAGCTCAGAGTCAGGGCCTGGATTGCCCCCAATCCCTGGGGCTGCAGTGGGTCTGAGCCTGGGTACAGCACCCGTGCAATGAGCAAGGAGGCCAAGGAGGAGAGGGGTCCAGGCCATCGTGGAGGATTCTGCTCCCAGAGTCCTATGCCTGGTCTGGATTGATCCCAGGCATCTCTTACGCCTTTCGGAGGGACAGGATGGTCATACAAATGAGCTGGGGCTCAGGGGCTGCTATTGAAGAGCCTTGTGGTTTCATAGAAGGGCTCAGCCTCAGGAGACACAGAGAGGGGAGGGCCAGCCCTGAAGGTCCACCCTCAGCCCAGGGGATTTTTCTTCACCTCCTGGTCCATAGCCTGGGGTGCCCAACTCCATCCTCTCCATGTCCTGACTTCACTCCCGAGCTGGTCTGTCCTGGCTGAGTGCAGAGGTGGAGTATGTCTGCATTTTCTGAGCATGATAGCATGTTTCCTCTGCAGGAACTAGGAGGCTTAGGTCAGTGCATTGCCTAAGCCATATCTGTGTTGGGGAGCATTAGAATCCGATCAAAAAGTTCTCCCTTGCCATGCGCACGTAGAGTTTTAAGGAGCCATTGAAGTGCTGTAGGTGTCTGTCCTGAGGGCTGGTCACAGATGTTGTGCCTCAGTATCCCCAGGGTGCAATGCATGCTGGAGCAGACCCAGCTTGAGCAAAGATCGACAGTGACTGAGTGCAGCAGGAATGGGCTGGGTGGGGAGGCATGAAATCCTGGACCTGTGCTAGAGACAGAGACAAATTCACAAGGACACAAATATGGAGAGCCCCTGAGTCAGAATTTTACATCAGAGTCAAAGGTGATAGTGTAGAAAACCTGCACCCTTTCTTTCTGGTCTCAGGTCCTGGTGAACAACCGTCCCTGTCAGAACTCCTGATGCCAGACCCTCCCCATGGCCGGGTGGCTTGGCCACGTGATCTCTGCTGCCCCCTGGTGGCCGTTCTCTGGGAGGCACAGGGAAGTCCGTTGTCCAGGTGCAGATTCAGAACCCACTGCTCACATCCTGATTCCCAGATCCTTGGACTGCTGGCCCCAGGGAGGAATTACTCTTCTCTATGTGGCCCTTGCCACTTTCAAGGCCAGACTGCCGGAGATCTGAGTATCCATGAAAATCGGAAGAGGCCCATGTGAGGAGGAGAAGGCAAAGCCCATCTGAGGTATCACTGCTCCTACCACTGGGGTGGTGGGTCGTCAGGAGTGTGGTTCTGGGCTGGACACCAGGGGACACAGGACTCAGGCACTGCTTCTTACTGGCCCTGGTGGCTGGTGCACCAAAATAGGGTGGTGGTGGCTACAGCTCCAAGGACAGAGACAGGAGAACACTCACCTGACTAACCTTTATTCAGACCCACTTTGGTTTGGCAGATTTTCAATCCTGGGAAATCTTTGTGAAGAAGACAGTTTCTCTCTCAGAGTTTCCATGTTGTGGGTGGGGTGCAATAGTGGACATACTTGTTTTGATGAGGCAGTAGACAGCCCCTACCACCTTTTACCTAAGTCTTATCTTCTATATTCATTTGAAAGCCAAACCATTGCTATTCCCACGTCCCTCTTGGCCAGCATTGACCTTGTGGTTCAGCACTGGCCAATGGATATGTCCTTCATCTGGTGATCTTTCTGGGGACTTTTACTCTCATGAAGTAAGGAGACAGACCAGATATATGGAGTGCCTTTCCTGGAGCTGCAACAGCCATGTGAGGTGTGTTGTCAGCAAGAATGAAAAGCAAAGCTCCATAGGTGAGATATTGGGGGGAAAAAGTGAGTAGATCTGGGACGTCATGGAATTGGTGAGTCTCTGGAAAGTAGCCATTTACCTCCAGACTTTGTTGGGAGGGAGTTTGTCTGTTCCTGCCTCTGATTATCATGGGTATCTTTTGCATTAACGTTTTTGTGACCAGTAGGGAAATAATGACCACAAATCAATGAACTAATCACATGATAGGGAAAAACCGTTCAGTAGTAGGTAATATGCAGACAATTAAGATGGATATCAGGCAGATACTGTGTGGGAAGAAGCTGCAGGAGGCCTCTCTGGGGAGGTGACCCTAGAGCTGCTGTCAGTCAGGATGGGAAGAAGGAAGGGGCACGAGGACATGTGTTTGGGGACAGCAGGGTCAGTCCCTGCAGGGAAGATTCCTGTTTGTCTGATCCTGAAGGAACAGTGAGCACCTAAGGTGTCTGTGATTTAAACCTTGTCAGTTTCAAGGTAATATGTTCTTACAAATTAAAAATTGGGGGGCTGGAGTGATGTGTTGTCAGAATTCATTTTGCTGTTTGTTTCTGGTTTTGGTGAATCCCAGGGGTGGTTCCTGTGTGAATCTGGAGCAAACTGAAAGGGAGACAGCAGCCTTTTTTGTAGCTGACGGTCATTGTGGCTCATCTGCTGGGTGTTAAGTCTTTTTCTAATGAAGGATGTTGCATTTGTCAAATGCTCTTTCTGCTTCGATTGAGAAAATCATGTGAGTTTTGTATTTTATTCCATTGATATGATGTATCGCACTAATCGTTTTGTATGTTGAAACACCTTGTATTGTTGCAGTAAATCCCTCTTGTTCCTGGTGTCTAATTCTTTCTATATGCTGCTGGATTAAGTTTGATAGTGTTTTGTTGAGAATTTCTGTGCCTGTATTTGTAGGGGACAGCGGTCTATAGTTTTCTAGTGATGTGTACTTTTGGTATCAGTGTAACAATGGCTACATGAAATGAGTGGGGAAGTCTACCACATTCATCTATTTTTTGGAACCCGTTGTGAAAAATTCATACTACAGTTGAGTTTTGAACAAAGCAGGTGTTAGGGGTGCTGACACAGGTGTAGTCTAAAACCTGCATATAACTTTTGATTCTCCCAAATTTTAACTACTAATCGCCTCCTCTTGACCAGAAACTTTACTGACAACATACACAGTGGATTAAGACATATTTTCGATGGTATATGAATCATATATTGTATTCTCACAAAAAAAGTGAGTCCAAAAAGAAAATGTTGTGCAGAAGAAAATTAGGGAATTAGGATAGCTGGTGCTGGTGTGTGGGGCCCAGGCAGCCCCTGCCGGCCAGCACCATGTGAGTCTCTAGCGTGGACGGGCACTGTGCTCACCCTGTGCACCAGTTCTCAGCAAAGGACATCGGTGGGGATATGTTTAATCTGCACAATCTGTACTTCTGCATTGTCACCAACAGGCCCTAACAACGTGGCAAACAGACACGAACTGCACTAAGCTCCTCGACCCGCAAGCCCCCTATGCTGAGTCGGGTTCGTGGAGCCTGGCCTTCCCTTGTGACCATCCGGAGAGGCAGCAACCAGGGAGTAATGTGCAGATGGGACAGTCCGCCGATGGCTCTAAGGTCAAATTCCATGAGCACAGCAAGATCTGAGTGACTAGGGAGGTCACCCACCCACTGTGGAAGGGGATGGAAGCCCAGCCCAAGGGGTGGAGCATGCAGGGGAATGCCATCAAATGGACCTTCACCAAGATCCATATTGTCCAGAAAGCTGTGTGGTGACACGATAATGTCCCACAGAAGGGCCCCTGGTAATAAAGAAGGAACTTCCCTGCCGCCCATAGCTCTGCAGGCGTGCACCCCCCACCCGAGTCCACTGTCCCTTGGAGAGGTCCACACGGTACCCTTACTGTCTCCCTGAAAACCAGGCTTCTGCTCTGGTGTAGACCCCAGACCAGGCAGGCACCCTCTACCGGAGGAATGTCCCTCCACCTGCTAGCGGCTCAACACTCCCCACCCCTGGCTGTCTTGTGGGAATAAAACATACAGATTTGGGGGGAAAAGCATGAACAAGAGAAAATACATTTACATTACTGTTGCGTAAACCCTTGTGAGTAACTGGACTGGAGCAATTCAACCCGAGTTGGTCAAGGGTCAACTGTGTGCCTCTCATGTTGGTTCTTTCTGGAGAACCTAACGAATACACCTCGTTAGATATAACTCTTTGTTATTGAAAGGTTTTAGTTTATTGTTGCTTTAGGGTTTACAGGAGCAATCTACCTTCCAGTGATTTTATATCACTTCACATAGAACATAAGACTATTTTAATATGTTCTTCTCACCCCACCCCCCAATTTGTGCTATGGGGATCCTGTGTTTTATTTTGAGATTCATCATGAACCAGGGCATATTGTTATTATGTTTGTCTTCACACAGTTGTCATTCAGAGACATTAATGTAAGACAGATGTTTAGGTTTGTCCATGTAGACCCCATGGCTGATTATCTTCATCCCTTTGTGTGGGTTCACATTGCTATCTGATAGACTATTCCTCTCTGTGAGGAGTGTCTATCACTCGCTGTTGTAGCGAGTGTCTGTGGGTGGTCAATTATGTGACATTGTGCAGTCTGAAAGCTTTATCTTGCTTCATTTTTGAGAGATATTTTCACTGGATAATGAATTTCAGGTGGACAGATTTTTCTTTTTTACAGATACGTATTTTTTTTAAGATTTTATTTATTTGAGAGAGAGAGAGAGTGTGTGCAAGTGGGGCAGAGGGAGAGGTAGAAGCAGACTCCCCGCTGAGCAGGCAGCAGGACAAGTGGCTTGATCCCAGGACTCCAGGATCATGACCTGAGCCAAAGGCAGACGCTTAACCAAATGAGCCACCCAGGTCCCCCTACAGATACATAGTTTAATATCTTTCTTTCAAAAGATATTTCTCCACCGTCTTCTTGCTTGCGTTGCTCATAGTAAAATCTGCTTTCACCATATTTACCCTCTGCATACCACCCGCATGTTCTCTCTGGCTGCTTCGCAGATGACTCTTCCACACCGGCGTTCAGCAATGTGACTGTGATGTGGATGACACTGTGGGTACTTCCTGGTTCCCAAGCATGAGCTTTGTTGAACTTCTTGAATATGTTGGTTATTGTTTTCACCAAATTTGTAATATTTCTGTCCAATATTTCTTTAAGCATCTTTTCTATTCCCTCCTGTCTGTCTTCTCTGCTCGGGGGCTCCAGTTACAAGTATAGTGGGCTGCATGAGGTGGTCCCGCAACCAAACGAGGCTCTGTTCATTTCTTACAGTCTTTTTTTTTGGGTCTTATTTCATTTTGAATGGTTACTACTTTGGTGTTGCG